GAGGCCTGAGTCGGGGGCCCCAATCGCCCCCTGCTAGCCGGGCCCTTGAGAGGGACCTGTGAAGGATCGGGAGGCGCACAGATGCGCAGGCAGCAATCCAGTTGTCTTGTGAGCCTTGGAAGTTGGCTAGCAATGGGGTGCTGCGGCTTAGAGCAGCATTTTTCCACCTCAGCAACTTGAAGATGGGTGGACTTCAACTCCCAGAATTCCATGCTGGCTGGGGGATTCTTGGAGTTTAAGTCCACCCCTCTTCAAGTCATTGAGGTGGAAAACTGCTGGCCTAGAGGTCGCAGGAGGTGGCCTGAGTCTGCCTGCATCACTCCTGTTCAGAGGAACCGGCACCCGCAAGGGGGTGCATAAAAAAGGAGGTGGCGTTTGAAATCCTACCATTGTCGGAGCCCCCAAACCTGCCCCAAGGATTGGAGGGGGCAGCCCCTGGGAATCCGTTCTCGGGGTGCAGATGGAGCGCTTTACCCAAGCAAGACGTGGAGCCCGGCAGGGGGTTGGGGGTGTTTTCCTCCACTTTGCTCCCTTGAAAGAGGAGCTGCGAGTTGGGGGTCAGAAGCGTGGAGCTTTTTCCACCCTGCCCAAGTCCCCCCAGTGCAGGTTGAGCTGCATTAGGCAGTGTTTGCCTCTGTCCCATGAATGCCCCTGACTGCAGCGGTCTGGGAGGGGTGGGGGGCAAGGGGCACATGTTTTATGTGGCGAAGGCTGCTTGACCCGCAGCCAGAGAGGCAGGGAAGGCTGGCGGGGGGGCGCTTCCTGGAGAAGCCACGTGGTTTTTTTATTGGTGCAACTTCTGCCTGATGCAAAAGTTCAGGTAGGTCTCCGCTCCTTTCCAGAGCACCTTTGCTCACGTCCCTGACGTAACTGCCGTGGCCTTCCCACAGGACTTGGGACACTAGCCCCACACCCTGACACGAGGAGAGCTCCGAGGTCTGAAAAGGAAGTCGTTCGCTGCTGTGTTGCTTTTCGCGATGCGCCAGCTTCAACTGGCTAGGGTAACTCAGCCCCGAGAAAAGCAGCGTTTTGTGCCCTGCCGGAATGATCCAAACTCGGTGCCTCTTCCTTTTCTACTCCGTGGTTTTGCCTCTCTGGAGGGTTCCCCTGCCTGATCTTAAAAGCAGAGCGAGGTCAGGACGGTTAATGCTTGGATGGGAGACCACCCAGAAATGCACCAGGGCTGTAGACTACATGGGGAAGAGGAGAAGATATCCTGGAAGAAGGCCACGTAGTACCATTTGTGGCCAAAAGTCAAGCTTGGCTTGAGGGAGGGTGGGTGGGGAGGGGGCTTCCCGTTCTGGTTACAGCCACTCCTTGGTCTTCTGAGGATCACCGAGTGTTGCCCGCACGCATTCAAGCACGTTTTCATGGCTGTGAGGCCAGAAGTGTATTCTCCAGCAGAAAGTGGCAATTCCTAGCAACCTGCACTCAGTGCCCCTACCCCAAGGCAGGCAGGTCATGTCTGGGGGCCCTTTTTGCTGGAGAGGCCCCTGGGGCCCACAAGGTAGATATGCTTAGTGCAGGGATCACAACCAGCATTGCTGGAGCATGGCCAGGTTGTAGGTTTCCAGGTTGTGGGTTGTACAGTCGGGCTGCTCTTGCTGGGAGGATCTTTAAACATTGGGCTGGCACCTTCCGTCCTGCCACGTAAGCCTCTTCGCTGTGCCCTGCGTTCTGGAATGATGGAGACCGGGACCCCCGTTGGCTGACGGCCCGCAGCTAGTCAAGGACGGCTGGCCAAGCTCCCTTGGTTGTCCCAAGGCTGAATGTTCGCACGCCCGGCAGTCTGTCCTCCCCCCAAGGCTTAATTCCAGCCCCTCCTCACCCTCGCGGCCTTTCTCTTCACCTGCACCAGTTTTCCAGAATCTTAAAAAGTGGGCATTGACGAGGTGGCGTCAGAGCAGCACATGATAGAGTGGAATGATGACTTCCCTGACTTGGAAATGGTGTTTGTCTTGATGCAGCTGATGACTGCATTTGCCTTCTCGGCTGCTGTGTCACACGGCTGGCTCGTACTTGCTTCTAATCAGCTCCAGATCTTTTTCACACGCTCAGTTTTTCCCCCATTCTATACCAGTGGGTTTGAGTTCAGTCCTAAGTGAAGCGGGTCGCCTTGGCTTCTCCAGTTCCACTCTGTTCGGTTCATCCCACTCACCTCACTTATCAAGAGCTTTTTTGTCACTCTCAGGGAAGGGTTTGCATCTTAGTTAAAGAGACCAGCTTGAAGGACGAGGGAGCCCATCATTCGGCAGAGAGCAGGTGTAGAGGGGTGCGGGGTTCAGTTGGAAACAAAGTGCCCCATGTGAGAAAGGAAAATCTAAGTTAGGGTGGGAAGAGAGCATCTTTTAAGTGGGCCCCTGACTTACCCATGACGGTAGTGTGACTAATGTATAGGTTGAATAGTCCAGTGACCTGGCGAGATGCCTGTGAAAAGCAGGTCTTGCGTTCAGGAGGGCTGAAGATGGCTTAGGAGCACCTGCCCACCCCATCCCTCCCCCCAAAGTCAGCTTCTAACAGTTTCCACCCTGGAGGCTTATACCTTGCAGAAAATTCTGGTCTGTGCAACTCCTGCAGAAAATGAATGTGTAAACTCAGCAGACCATTTGCAGGGAAACACCCCTCCTGAGCCGATGAGAAAAGATGGGGCTGACGGCAGGCTCCTTTCCCGAGGGGGCTGTTGGCGTTCCAAAGAGCAGTCGGGTTTCGGGTTCACTCAGGACATTTCATCCTGATGCCATCCATGGGTTGGGGTCTGAAGGATGGCGCTTGCTTCTCCCTTCCCCTTCTGCTTTTTAGCAGATGGCAGGTGCTTTGCAGCTGAAAGGCAACCGGCTTAGTCCACACGGTAGAAAGGCAGTGGCCATCAAAAGTGCCCTCACCCCTTCCTGCATCTTCATTTCACACTCCGGTGCTGGGCTGGAGAACGCGCGAGCCCACGGCTCTTGGGCTGGAGGGAGTTCAGTGCCGAACAGGCGATGGGCTGCTTTTTGGAATCGACCTCTCAGCTCGCTCCGAACAGAGACGCGGCCTGAGGCATCCATGGCTGTGTGGGCAAAGCGTGTAGATGTTTTGGTTTTCCCTGGCAAGAACTCAAGTCCCCCAATTTGCCCCCTGAAGAACTGACCAAGTGCCCTTTGGCAGAAGTTTGGAGCCAAATGTTCAAGCTTCTTCCAGAGGTGTATGGCCGGGCATTTCCTCCTCTGCTTGCCTGCTGCAACGTTAGCAAAGGCTGCCCCCTGCCGGATCTTCTTGGGCCGGAGAGGGTGTTTGCCCTCCAAGGGCCCCTCTGGCTGGGACAAGAGTTGGGGCCAACACCTCTGGTGGGGAATGCATCTTCCTAGCCCTGCGCTCTTAATGCTGAGCGGCTGCACACTTTGGTGCCGTGATGCTGCGACTCCTCTGCCCAGGCGTTCCCTCCTCCTTCCAGCAAGTAGTAATCATCCCTGTGTAGAGACCTCCAAACCTGGCGGATGGTCCTGTCCAGGTGCGTGGCTGGGTTCCTCCACTCCTCAGCACATTAGCCAAGGGAATCTTGAAATCTGAAGAGAGGGTTTGGGGAAGCTGGCTTAGAGACCGCAGCTGTACTGTTGAGCAAACGGGCTCAGATGCCATTGCTTGCTTAGAGCCCCGGGGTGGGTGGTGAGCCTGGTTTGGGGCTGGGGCGATTGGGGGTCTGCTCTTCGGGGCTGCACTTCCACCAAGTATGTTCAAGTATCCTGCACGTTCCCTGGCACATCTTGACTTCGGGCACCCCCTTTGTTGCTGCCTCTCCAGCTCTTCTCTGATCCTGGCCTTAATGTAGCAGGAGCTCTGTAGCCTGTGGGAGGACCGGCGAGGAGCACAGGAAGCCCACCCTGTTGGGGTGTTTCTGGCGCCCCGGGAACAGACGGTGCAGCTGGTCTTCCAGTGAGCACACAGCTTCTGGGGTGGTCCTGGCTGCACACAGCCATGAAGGGGGTCCTCAGCCTGTCGGGGTGCCGGCACCAGACTACAGGGGAGCCTCGTGGTTGGGTTTCAACTATTGTCTCTATCAATCAGGGGTCCAGTTTGCTGCAGCAAACCAGAGCGAGGAAGTGACAGCATCTAAAGTTTTGCCAGCTTGCCGTCTACAGAGCTGGGGGTCTCAACTTGGCCCTCTGCTGCCCACCAGAGCAATATTTGGGTGACCCTGGTCCTACCTGCTCTGCGTACCACAGCTAGATCAGGGTGTCCTCACAGTTAGGGTCAAGATGATGGCTCTGATGGTACGGTCAAAGCCCCGCTTGTTTCTTTATGCGCATTGCAGACAGGTGAAGCTTCTTCAGTCACACTGTCTCAGCCATATTGACTTTTTTTTTTCTCCCAAACCCTGGGATAAGAGCTGGCTAATTCTCTTTGGGACCTTGTCTGCGGGGTCACCAACTGCAGCTTTGCTCTTGAGCACAGAAGCTGGAGGGGACGGGGAAAAAAGAGCCAAGCTTGGTGGGTGGGAAAAGACATCTGTTCTTGAAAGGGAAAGACTGGATGCCGAAAGAAAAAGCCCACCCCCTCCGCTCCCATGGTGTGGCTTTGCCTAATGTGGTGGGCCAAGCACATCTGGAAGAACCCCTTGGGGAAGGCTACCAGACACGTAAGGCCAGGACTTGGGGAGCACAGAATGAGGGAGCCCCCAAACTGTCCAAGAGGGCCACAAGGTTCCTCTGCAGGTGCATAAAAATATAGTGGAGGTGCAGAAGGAAGGGGGTTCTGGACAGAAGGACAGGAGGAAAGATCAACGCAAGCAGTAAGCGAAGAACAGGCCACAACAGTGCAATGGGCCAGATGTGGAGGAATTCCCTCCCCTGATGCACAGCTGGGCTTAAGGTTGGGAAGACAGAAGTGTCAGGTGTAGCAATGGTCTGAACAGGGCTGGAGTGAAATTTCAGTGGTCCCCTTGAGCTGAGTTGAAGTGGCCGGGCCGTGTGGGTTGAAACAATTGTCAGCGTTTCGGGAAGCAAATGAAGGAACGTGAATGCAGGGGGAAGGAATTTACTTGGTACCAGTTTGCAAAAATGCCCAGTCAGGCATACATCTGGTATGTTGTAAAAGGCAATGTACAGCTGGAATCCAGGTGAAGACCCAGCTGTTGGGAGCATTGGTGGCAAGGAGGCCCCTTTTGAGGCTGGCACTGAGGGCTATGGCATTCAGGGCACGATTGGAAGCTCCACAAGGAAACTTCTGCCTTGAACATTGGCAGTTTTCCTCAGAAGATAGTTTAGCCGAAAAAGGCAGCTGGTTTTCTTCTTTAAAATCTCCAAGATCTCAGCTACGGCATCTGCCCCCTTTGGGCATTTCTCATCTGCCACTTCAAGGGACCGGCTCTTTCTCCAGGGATGCGCATGAAAAGCTGGATGTGCCAGGAAGTGGGAGATGCTCACGTATGTCCATGCGCCACTCGCCTGGCTGTTCTCAGCGAAGGGAACTGTCTGATCTCTTCTAGGTAGCCTTGAGGAGTGACTGGCTGATTTTGCTGGGTGTGGATTCAGGCCCTTTCCCCCAAGTGATCAGATGGCAAAGTGGACCCCTGGTTCTTCCCTATAGTTACTTCTGCCATAGCTTGAACATTCTGCTTGGAAGGGGAAGGGGGGAGATATAAAAATGGGGAGCAGCTTCTCCCATTGCTGGAGCTTTCATCTGCCCCCTGCAACCAGCTTCCTCCCAGAGTTCAATTTGCAAGAGATGTTCAAAGGGACGAGATGTATTTTGAATGGAAGTGCAAATCGGGAACGGCACCCCTCCTTGCCTCGTTCTTGCTGTTCTGTCTGGAGGGGTGTTGGAGTGGGAAGAGAGCCCTGAGAAGGGAGAACGCCCAGCGTGGCCAGCTTGCAGTTGTGGACTTTGCCCACCTGATGAGCAAGACAGAGCCTTTGGGATCCTTCTCGGTTTCGGTGGTGCCAGCAAGCGGGATTTGGAGAGAAGGCGTGATGCTCGCTGGCTTCTGTCCCTCTAGGTGGGCATCGGTGTGATGTGGCCTGGCCACCCCCTTGATGTTGCTCTTGAAAGGAAGAATGTTTTCCAACTCCCTGCTCAAACTTTGAGTTTGGGGAAGCAGAAGGCGCCCCTTAAACACAGGAGAGGTTGCTCAACTAAAGCCATCATTGGTGGTAGACCAACCCCTTTCGTAACTAGGCTTCTTCGTGGGGGTGAACCTTCCTGATCCCCGTTTGCTTGTTTTCTGGTTTTCTTTGATTCTCCTTTTTTCTCCTTGTTCAGCGAAGCAATTTCTAGTCTAGCTACAATCCAAAAGAGACATATCTGTGATGGTTTCCGCTGGTTGACATCCTATGGTTGGCTCAGTTAACTGACTCCAAAACTTGCTGTGAAACTAGTTTTGAATGCCAGGAGTCAGCCTTGTAACATGAAAACTGGGAAATGTCCTGGGGCTGGAAGAAGGAATCTCCTCTCACAATTCCCTCTAAATAAAGCCAGCCGTTTCCCCCAGTACTGTGGGGAAAATATCCCCGAGCATTATCCTTTAAGGTTTAAGCCCTCCCCTCCTCCTCTTTCTTGAAGGGAAAAGAATTTAATCTTGATTTTAAAAAAAGATACGTATCATAAAGGTTAACCAATCTGATTATTAGTTCCTTTTCAAAATGCTAAAGAGCCACTGGTGTTTGGTAGGACTGAAAGTCTGTGCTAGAGAAGCACAGGATGGGTGAAACACGGAGAATACGTAGAGAAGTTTACAAGCTTTAAGATACCTGCAAAGGTTTGCCTACTGGCTCAAGAGCTATCTTCTGATTTTGCTAGAAAGATACCTATTGACCCACGAGAGAGAGAACTAATTTGGCCGAGAAAAAGAAGCCAGTAAGTCTATTCCTCTTTTCTGGACTCTGTTGAGAATCCCTTGGCAGTTACAAATAGAATTGGGCAATCTGCAGTAGCTGATCTAAAAGGGCTGGAGCCTGACCGGCTGCTATGTGCTGACTCGGCAAAGCGCAAGCAGGGCGTCGTCTTGGTTGAATCACCTTTTTATCGGTAAACTTTAGCAGGATGCCAGATAGACGTCAGAACAGCCCCTCGGCGTATAATGGCAACTGCCCATCTAAAAGCCTTGCCGTTCAGCAACCGTAAAAGGTGGATGGGTTACCCCAAAGCGGGTCAGAACCTGGTTCTTCTGCAAGTGACCCACAGCGAGTGCGATTAAAGAGGAAGGAAGCTGACAGCAGGTGCTGGTGGCCTCCTTTCTGGCAGGGCCACAGCCCAGTTGGCTGAGATGGCCCCTTTGAAGGCAGCCCTGTCACAAGTTGAGCTGGCTGCATCGACACGGAGAACGTTTCCTGTGCCTTTATTGGCCTCTTCGCTCTGAGAATGGACTGGAACGCAAACTCTGCTCTAAGCATCTGGAAGCGATGGTTCTTGCTCCAAGTATGAAGCATGAGCGAAAATGAATGTTTTTCTGACATCGTTGCGGAGCGGGGGGGAAAGATTTTTGAGAGGGGACAAGTGGGCTGGACCCCAGGATTGCTTTGCTTTGATGATGCATGTTTTTGTTCTAAGGGTGTCCCACTTTTCAGCTTTTGCTGCCTCGGGGACGACTGAGTAAGAGTGGAGGGGTTAGCAGGAGAACGAAGAGTGCGGCCACCTCACTTGGCCACGCTCTTCCTCTGCTCTTATCCAGGAGGCTGTGCTGGTCTCGGAGTGGAACAAAGATTGATTTGATTTATCCAGGAGGCAGCCCCTGTTGTGTCCCCCCCTCCCACCCCTCCAGCTTGGGCAAAACGCCCTAACTGGTTGCTCGTCCCTTCTCATCTGCAGGACCTGGAGAACGACTACAAGTGTACTTGCCCACAAGGCTTCTATGGCAAGAACTGCGAAATCAGCGCCATGACCTGTGCGGACGGGCCCTGCTTCAACGGGGGGACCTGCACAGAGAAGTCCTCGGGGGGCTACGCTTGCCACTGCCCTCTGAACTACCACGGGTCCAACTGTGAGAAAAAGATAGATCGGTGCAGCAGCAACCCCTGTTTGAATAGTAAGTGCCTTCTGGGACATTGTGTCCTGCAGATGAGCAGGTCCTAGGCTGACCTCAGGGTGTCACAGTGGTGAGTCTCTCTAGGAAAAAGGAGGAACGGTTCATATTTCGATGAGGACTTCACAAATTTGCACATATCTTCCAAGGGGAGGGCCTCTGTATTCATCTGTAGAAAGCCCCCTCTGTTTTCCCCATTGCCTCCAATTCACGGGTGTCCACCTCAACGGCATCGCCAGCGGTCCTTCCTTCCAGGAGCCCCAACGTTCTCCGCCATGGTGTCCGACTGTCCTGTACCTGCAGCAAAAGTACAGGGAGCCCACGCCTTCTCTGCTTCTCGTGGTCGCTTTATTCCATATTAAGTGATGGACCAGTTGCAGGCCTCTGTTCTCCCTGTCTAACCCATCCTGTGCATTAACTACAGTGGCCTCTGAAGCCAGAACTGGCAGTGGTCTCCTTGAGCCGGGGGGCTCCGTGTCAGTCTCCTGGAAGGGTCTCCTCCAATCCCTTCAGCCTTGTGTCCTGGGTGGACCATCCAGGGGTTGGCGTGCTCTGTGCCATCTGTCCCCCAGGTGACCAGGGCTGAGGCAGTTGCGCGTCAGCCACAGCAGTTAATGCGCTTGTGAACTAGAGCAACCACCTCCCTTTCCTTTTCAGGTGGCCGCTGCCTGGACCTTGGCCGGAGCGTGATCTGCAGGTGCCGCCCCGGGTTTGCTGGCTCCCGCTGTGAGTTGAACATAGACGACTGCGCACGCAACCCCTGTGCCAACGGAGGCACCTGCATCGATGGCCCCAACAGCTACTCCTGCTCCTGCACCCTGGGGTACGGGGGGAAGGACTGCAGCGTGCGCATGGACGCTTGCAGCTCCGGCCCCTGCTTGAACAGCGGCACCTGCTACACCCACTTCTCGGGCCACGTCTGCGAGTGTTCGGCTGGCTACATGGGCTCCAGCTGCGAGTTCAGAGTCCAGCTGCCCACGCCCGCCAGCAGCCAGTGGATGGCCGAGGGGCCCTTCCCCACGGCCCTGGCGGTTTCCTTCGCTCTGGGGCTCTTGACGTTAGTGCTCGCGGCCTGCGCCATCCTGGCTGTGCTTCGGCACCTGAGGCGCGGGCCCCACGCTCTGAAGAGCCGCGTCTGCAACGACCTGGCCGCTGTCAACAATTTCAGAGAACGGGACAGCTGCCTCATTTCTCCCGGCTGCTTTAAAGTGTCGAACAAGGAGGCCCGATTTCATGGCGACCAGTTCAACTGTAAGAGGAAGCTGTTGGACCAGAGTTACGAGTCCATCTGCAAGAAGCTGGAGAAGTAAGTGGCGGCTTCGTAATTACTAGCAAGGAGGTCAGGTTTCAGGACGGTGGCGAGCCATGTTGGCCAGCCCCAGCGTGGGAAACAGAGAACGTGACAAGAGAACCATTTTCAGCCTCGTTCTCTGGAGGAGAATCCAGATGCAGTGTTAGAACCGTGTGAACGCGATCTGAAAAACTTCAGATTGACCGTTCGAACTCGGAGGCTGTGTTTGCCTGCTCAGCCTGATTAGGCACCTGTCACAAGCCGTCATGGCATCAAAATGCAGGGCATTCAGATGCCTCCAAATGTATTTTTACAAGGCACGGGTGGGAATTGCTCAACTTGCTCTTTTGTCGCCTGCCGATAGAACTGCAGATCCTTGCAGGGCCTCCTCCAAGCTGGTGCCCTCCAGAGCTCCTGGATCCTCTTCCCAGCATCGCCCCTGTGGGTAATGTGGGTGCGGCAGTCCAATATCTCCAGAAGGTTCCACCTTTTAAGATCTCAGACCGAGTCCACTCTTTTCCGAAATCTGTTCTTGTGGTGTGTGTGGTTTTAGAACTCTGTCAGCTGGAGCACTAAAGACGGTTGTGTGGCGCCTGGCAGTGCCAGGCGATGTGGAAGAGGGGCGGAGCACTGATCCCAGGTAGATTGAGAGAATATGCATGGACCTCCTTTGTTGGAAGCTCCTGGCAACATCAAGAGCCCTGCTTCTTGCAGGCCCAGATCCGATCCACCTTTCCCTGCCTGCATCAGCCTCTAGCACAGTGTTTCTCAACCTTGGCCATTTTAAGATGGGTGGACTTCAACTCCCAGAATTCCCCAG